GTCGCCCTGGGCCCCCGGGAACCTGCTTCAACACTATTGGCCCTGCCAGGCGACGCCAGAGTCCCCTTCTGGCTGCCTGGCCAATGAGCGCACACGGCCGTGAAACAGAGCGCTTGTTGCGTCGCGCCATCGGTGCGCTCGGGAGGGCGGGCGGCTTGCGCGCATCCCTGCTCGGGAGGGTTCCTTACCTGTGCCCGCACTGGTCAGCCCGAGGACGGACAGCGAACGGATCCGCCTGCACTTTAGGAGCGCTTCAGACGGGGCTGTGTGGAGAACTTGCCATCAGAGAAATGACAGGGACGTCAAACACAGAGCTGGCAGTGGAAACAGGTCTAATAAGTGGGAAAAAGCAGTGTGCAAAACCAGTCACTAAAGTACCAATTTGGCACATTATCCAGGGTGCTCACAGGAACCCTACAACAACCTGCTAACATAGCGATACTCAGGATCTCTGGGGGCTGGGCTGGGGTGTTTTTAGCTTCCTTTCTGTGTTTTCCTCAGTTTTTCAGAAGGGTTCTCAGGTGAGAGTTTCTGTTACATACCACACCGGCCCTAGTAAAATCCCTGCGATGTTTGCCCGTATCACTGGAGGCCAAATGCATGCTCTTTCCCGAGGTGGCCTGGATCCCCGCCCAGGGCCCTTGTTGTCACCCCGCCTGCTCCCGGGGCTTTGCTCCCATCTCAGCGTGCTGCGTGATGCTTCTGGCCTTCTGGTGTGATGTGCTTGCTCCTCTCACCTGTTTATTGTTGGTCTCATCTCTAGCACCTTTTCTGTGTCCGTCCCCAGCACTCTGGGCTGTGTGGCGTGTGCGGCACGCGGAGTGAGTCTGCGCTGACTTTCTCAGAACCAGCAGTCCTGCGTGTAGAAGGCTCTGCTAGAGGAAGCCGAGAAACACAAGGTTACTGTAGCAATTGCACTAGAAACTGTTGCATGTGTGTAGAGTAACCCTATGCAGCAGTAACAAGGAAACAAAATGGAATAAGTAACCAAAGGAGGCCGGGCTGAAGCAGGAGGATCAAAAGTTTGAGTGCAGTCTGGGCAACTGAGTGAGACCCTGACTCAAAAAAATAAAAGGGGCTGAGGATGTAGCTTAGTGCAAAAGCCCTGGGTTCAGTCCCCAGCACCTCGGGGGGGGGCAGTTCTAGAATGTGTTATGTGGGGAAAAAAAGAGTGCAAAGGCCCACATGTTTACTGTAAAAAAAAGGATGAAACAGAGACTAGTTCAGTCACCTGGCAGGGTGGGCTGGTATACCCCTGTAGTACCAGCACTCTGAGAGGCTGAGGCAGGAGGATCACGAGTTTGAGACCAGCCTAGGCAATTTAGTGACTTAGTAATAAAGATTTTATGAAGACTTTAGGATGTAGCTCAGTGTAAAGGCCCTGGGTTCAATTTCCAGTACTAGAAAAGAAAGAAAAAGGTCACTATATGGAGTTGAGATAGCTATAGGACTTTTTGGAATAGGCCTTTTTAATGTATTTCTGACTCTCAGCACGTTTAAAAGTAAATTGGAAAGAGTAAAAAAAAAAATAAAGTGCTGTGATTGAATGAGAACAGCATCCAGCGGGCCTTTATCACAAAACCACATAGAGAAAATAATTCAATTCAGTGCATTCTCTCTGCCTCTCTCCCTGTGTTTGTCTGTCTCTGTCTCTGTTTCTTAGCCTCCCTCCCTTCCTCTCTCCCCTTTCTTTTGTGGTACTAGAGATTAAATCCAGGGTGCTGTTCCACTGAGTTACTTCCCCAGCCCTTCATTTTTTTTGTTCCATTGTGTTTTGTTTTTTGAGACGGGGTCTCACTATGTAACCCAGGCTGGCCTCAAACTCACATTAATCCTCCTGCCTCAGCCTCCTGAATACAGGGATTCCAGGCGTGTGCCACTATGCCTGTAGCAGACACCTCTGCCCAGTGTTAGCAGGCTATTAATGGCATAAGCTTCTTGCCCCTCTATCGTTTGGCTGTGTATATTTCAGGAGTCTGACCGAAGCTAATGTGACTCAAATGGGCCTGTCAGTTATCAAAATTGGGCTGGTATTGCTCCTCTGCTAATGGCTGCTACAGAGACTTAAGTCCTAGTCCATGAAGTAGCAGGGCTTGGCTGAGTTCACTTCCAGCCAAGGTCAACTGACTCCAACTAAATTCCTCCCCTCTGAATTAACCGAGTGTTCTCTTGTGCCCTCATCTCTAGTCCTGCCTGCTTGGTCCTTACTATCAGCAGGTGTCCAGAAGCCTGCCCAGCTCCCCCTCCCACACTTGTAATGAGTAAACACTGGACGTCCTGGGAGTCCTTTGTCTTTGCTGCCCAGAGCAGCTTAGATCAGCCCAAGACTCAGTTTCTTTCAAGTCTCTGTGTGTTTTTTTATTTCCCACTTTCCTATCTCACCGGGACCACTGCAGGGGG